ATCCTTTCGCTAGGTTATCATCGATGTACTCCTTAAGTACCTTCAGCTCCTTTTCCGATAGCTGATATATTGGTCCGAACGGTGGACTCTTGTCTTTCTCCAAAGGTATCTCGTGATCCCATGGTTGGTGCTTAGGAAGCGCCTCGTTCTTAGGGCCTTCCTGGAATAATTGCTCGTATTCCTTGTACTCCACCGGTATACTCGTCGGTGAGGATGCCTGGGCTAGGTCATCGAGCTCGGAGGTTGCACATAACTCCTTCCGGCCCTGGGAGGGTTTCTCCCGTTGTCGCGTGTCCGTCCGTTGTTCACACGCGCACTGGCTCATCACAACTTTCTCGTTCCACCAGTCGATCTGGGGGTTGTGTTTCTTGAGCCATGGCACACCAAGGATGCATGCATGGTTGTCCATGTGCACGATGTCAAACTGAATCGTTTCCTTGTGCCCGTGTAGCATGACCATTTCCAATGGGACCGTTTCGTGGGTCACCATTCCTTCATTAGTCGAGATGGGCTCTCCATCTACGACCATTAACGGGTATGGTTCGGTTTTCAATTGCGTCTTGAAACCTTGCGTGTCTGCTACTTTCTTTGTCATAAAGTTGCCCGTCGCTCCTGAGTCAACCATTGCTCGGAGGTGTCGCTGTTGTATCTTAGCGACCACATATAGTTGCATGCTGCCCGTCGTGGCGCATAGCTGGTCTGTACTAGGCCTCTTCGTGTCGCTCGCCGGTGGCCTACCGTCGAGGACTCCTAGTTTTTTGACTCGTCCGAGGAAGGATAGTATTCATCTGCTTCCAATGGTGGTCCTTGGGGAGATCGTTTCCCTCGCTCTTCTGCTTCATCTAGCAGATGTGGGTATTTCTCGTATACCTGTTCGCTTTTGATAGGCAAGTCCCCTTCAGACTGGCTTCGCCTGAGGGCGTGAACTTGCTCTGCGTCTCTGAAGTGTATCCTGGGCGAGGATCGGGGAAACAACTGATTCTGGTGTTTCTTTTTCCAGTGGAGCTTGCAGTCATCTTCGCTGCAATACTCCCAGTAGACATATGCGTGCCAGGGATGATCAGTCTCTGTTGCGTCTGTCGTTGATAGTTCCCGCTGTCCTCTCACCCATGCACTATCTTCCCTCGGAGGCATGGAGAACGTGTCTAGTTGCTCCATGGCTCTCCTTTCGATGCGTGGAGTGGGTCTCGCATTTTCCCGTCGGAGCATATCTCTGGCTTTCTCGTCGTACTTCTTCAGGGCTCTCCTGCGGTCCTGGTAGTAAAGTTTGACGCTTTTCATATACTTCAGTTTAGCCATATGCTCGACATCCTTCTCCAGTTCTTCCGCTTCTTGGGCTTCCAACTTAGCTACGTCTTGGGACGTGCCAAGCAGCCTGCGGGTATTCGTTAGTTGGTCGTAGTATCTCCAGAGGTCATCCTTGCAGTCGTCCACCTTGCACTTTAATGGAAGTTCCTGTAACAGGTTCCCGTAGATGCCCTTAAGCGTGGGGATTCTCCTCTGGCCGCTGGGCTTGTCTCGTTTGGCCCTAATCTTCGCGTGGGCGTGTTTTGCCATGCGTCTTACTACGCTCTTGCACCGTGGACTCATTGGTTCCGTAGGTGCGAGTTCATCGAAGGTCTCCTGTTCCGAGACGGTGAACGATTCCGCCTCCGACCCTTCATCTGAGCTCTCGTCTTCTGGGGTGCTTTCGCCGTTTATTCCCCAGTCCTGTTTGCTCACAAACGTTGCGTTCAACTGTCCTGTCCAGGTGGCATTGAGTTGTTTGCCGACTTTGCGTCCGCCGTTCCCTTTCTTTGGCTGTCTGCAGTCTCGGGCCATGTGGCCTGGCTTGTCGCAGTTAAAACAGAGTCGTTCCTTGAATTGTCTGTCTTTCTTAGGGTCACGGGGTCGTCCAGGTTTGAACGTGGCATCGAGTTCCATTGGGTCCGACCAACAGTTGTCTCGCGGGTGTTGATCCCGTCGTCTGCCCTCGTTTCCCCGGTAGGGGTAACTTTTCTTGGGCTTGTCATAGGTCCGACGTTCCTTCTGGAATTCGTATAGTCGATTGTCGATTCGGACCGTATGTTCGATTAGCGCTACCATGTCCGTTGGTTGTTGTTCCAAACGGGCAAGTTCCATACGTATATGGCTCTTCAGCCCACGTCGGTAGTGGCTGATGAGTGCGCTGGCGTCCCATCCTGTCTGATTGCCGTATCTCTGGAATTCTGTGGAGTACGTGAGGGCGCTGCCAGTCTGCTTAAGTGCAAACAGATGGTCTTCCGCGGTCTTAATCTCATCGATGTCTCCGAACATGCGTCGGATTTCCTTACAGAATCCTTTCCAGCTGCCAAACATAGTCTGCGTAGTTGTCATGCTTCCATTGGTACTTTCATATTTGAAATAGTCCTTGAGGAATGGTTCGATCCATCGCAGGGCTTCCCCCCTAAGGTAGGACGCAGTCCACAGGGCATAGCTCTCCTGGGTGGGAAACTTCTCATCATTGAAGTGCTGGTACAGTTCGACCTGTAGCAAAAACACCTCAAGTTCCTTTCGGTTGCCGGAGTAAGTGTCGGGCAACTTGACGCGTAGAGTTTCCTTGAGTTCGTTGACGGTGGATGCATCGGGCATCTCTTCATTCTCAGGCTTAGACCTCTGAGACGAAGTTGGCGTGGTGGGGGTTTTCCCCTTCGAACTGACGACAGACATGTTGCTTTGTGTGTAAGCCGGTACCTCGTAGAAGTGGTGCTCAAAGTGTAACGCTGACTTCTAAACGATAGAAGACACAGAGGTTCTCTTGCGTAAAGGTTTACTTATCAGAGGAGGCAGGGGATCAGACACAAAGGCTTCAAGTAACACGTTACTAGTATATAACAAATACTGTATTGAGTTGAGCACGAAGCTCCTATCTAAGGAAATACTATCTACTTATATAGTGGCGTCGTGCCTAGTGGACTCTTGGGAACTCACTCGAGTCCTCGGAGTCCTGGACTCTTAGGACTCTTCTCATCATCCTGCGAGTCCATCACGTGCCTAGTGGACTCCTGGGAACTCACTCGAGTCCTCGGAGTCCTGGACTCTTAGGACTCTTCTCATCATCCTGCGAGTCCGTCACGTGATACTTTCGGAACTACTATTCCCCGCTGCCCCTCCAGGTACCAGGGCCGGTCTCATGCGACCTCCCTCCTTCCTGTCCTGTAGTTGGCCAGCCTTCTTGTTCCGTCGTAACATTTGCTCTGCAAACTTTCAACTGCCTTCCACCCAGAAACAGATGGACAGACTGAGCGATTCAATGCAGAGCTCGAACGCTACTTGCGAGCTCATGTGAACTATCTTCAAGACAATTGGGTTTCATACTTGTGCATGGCGGAGTTTGCTGCCAACAGTTTGCCATCAAATGCAACCAAGACAAGTGCGTTTTTTGTGAACAAGGGCTATGAACCAAGAATGAGCTTCGATACAGAGCAGCAAGCATATCACGAAGCCAAACAAGAGCACAAGAACATAGCTCAGACCATGGCAAAGGTTTGGGAGTTTCTGCAGGATGAAATCACGCTCTCGCAAGCAAAAATGGAACATTTCGCGAACAAGAAAAGGAAACCTGCACCACGCTATCAAGTGGGAGACAGAGTATGGCTTTCAACTCGAAATATAAAGACACAGAGGCCATCAAAGAAGCTAGACCACAAGCAAGTGGGACCTTTTGAAATTCTAGAGCGAATTGGGCAAGTTGCATATCGGCTCAAACTTCCAAACAGCATGAAGATTCATCCAGTATTTCATGCCAATCTATTAAGACTTGACTCGAATGATGCAATCGAAGGGCAGCAACAGGAGCCAGAGCCTCCAGTCATTGTCAATGGCGAAGAGGAGTGGGAAGTGGACGAAATCCTCGACTCAAAAGTTATTCGAAAGAAGCTTTTCTACAAGGCAGCTTGGAAGAACTATCCACCGGATGAGACATGGTATACTGCAGAGAGCTTTAAAAATTCTCCAGAAGTTACCCAAGCATATCACAGAAAATACTCTCAGAAACCAAAATGAGAGCTGGAGGCAATTGTTTTTTTTTGAAAATGGGATTTCTTGATCAGGAGATCAACTCTGGAGTAGGGGGGGGGTAGTGTTACGATATCAAGTGCGCCTTGCAGCTCGAGTGGGGGTTCAGGGGTGTGGGGAGCTTTCCGGGGTTGGAGCGAAGTTTTCAGTTGTGAAGTGAATTCTCAGAACTGGTCTCGCTAAAGAGAATTCACTCCACAACAACATAGCTGTATATAGATCGAGCCACTGCTTGAGTGCTCCTCTTCTCTTTCCTTTCTTCTCTAGATTGAGTTTAATTCATAATACCCAACTGGCGCCCTATGCCTTGGTGAACCGTGACAACAGTAACATGATGTCATGGTTACTGTTGGAACATGGGATGTTCCTGATAGTACGCTGCACAGCGTAGATTGTATACTGGATGTATATAAGGGCTCCGCCCGCCCGTAGTTACTCAATCAAGTCGTCAAACTCCAATTATGTGTTCAACAGGTTATGAGCCCGGGTTTAGCGCACGACGCGCTGCGCCAAAGACACATAATTGACGGCTTCCCTCATAGCTCTCGCAGGGAGAGAGCAGCTATGTTGTACGATAGGCGTACGAGTGGAGCGTATTTATCGCCATTACGGAAAGCCTTTGCTCATAACCACCAACTACACAGCGGAAGCAGCACCGAGTATAAGACGAGTGCAGGGCACACCAAGCAAGCGACTACTTTGAACAGGAGCTAGGGATAACTGTCGGAACTTCAGTTTTGGGTCAACTGAACCTCATTGATTGAGGCGTAGCTGGGACAGACCAGCCAGATTCGACACCATGAGGGTGCGCAAGCGGTTAACACCACCATAGCGATGGTGCGCAGGTAGCGGGTGGCGAGCGCAGTCATACTGTGGATAGGATGGGCTAGGAAAGAGAGAAAGGCAGAGACTTGGATTTAGAGAGGATAGGGGCGCTGAAGCAGCAGCAGCTGGCAACACTGCACAGCGTAAGGGGCGTGTTGGAACATGGGATGTTCCCGGTCCGCGTCGTCCTCGCTGTCAGAAGACTCGTACTCCTCAGCCAGGGCGACGTCAGGAAGGTGGCGGTGCTACAAGGAGTCAGTGAGGTTAGCGGTGACAAGACAGAGGTGATACGTACGATAGCCTTCTGGAGGTCATTGCTAAGACGAGTAGTGCAGCGCAGGCTTTGGACCTCCGACGCGATCTCAAGGAGGGCGAGGCTGAGATTCACCTTCTGCGGCTGCGAGTCGTGACCCACGCGGTGGCGGCGACGAAGGAGATTCTTGCCTTGCATGACGTAGGCTGTATATTTCTCCTGGACGGCTGCTAAGATCTTAGCACGGTTGTTGGCTAAGGTCTTGGAGAAGGCCTCCTCATCGTGCTGGACGGCGTCGCGATATAGCTGGAAGGCATCGGCAAGGCGATTGAACTGGTGGAGAGCGAAGGTCGGGATCTAGGCTGTTAGTAAACAGACAAGACGTAGAGGGTCTGTGGACTTACTGGGAGGCACTTGTTATGTTGCTCCACGCAGTACTCGCAGCGGCTCATCGGATTCTTCTTCTCCAACAAGGCATCAACGGCAGCCAGGCATTCTGCTTCAGTAAGCCGAGCCTCTGGGATAGCGGCCGCAGTTGCTTTGCCATTGTTCTTCTTGTGGGGGGCCATGATGGTGAAGTCATCAGAGTGAGGTCGGAGAAGGGAGACCTACAGATCTATCAGTATAAGGATCCAAGGTATTAAGAACAGTACTCACAACAGAAGGGAAGCGGTAGCTACACGCGACAGAAAGCAGGAAGGACTTGGTGGTGTTGTTGTGGGTAAAAGTGAGAAGAAGAAGGAGGGAAAAGAAGAAGCGGTCACAACAAAACACCACAACAGTACGGAGGTGAAGCGCCTAGCCCGACAGCCTTAATCATTAGGCCAGCGTGGCAGTGGCACCCTCATCAATAACCTCACTTCACAGAAGTTGGTGGGGTGCTGTCAACACTAGTGAGGACATACATCCAAAAACTCAGTTGCATCAAAGCAACTTAGAGCACGTAGCATTGTTCACCAACTCGATGCTAACAACTTGCGATTAGTTATGAAGCAACGTATAGTACGTACGAAGGGGAAAAGGATTGTTCTAAAGGGTCACTTTCATGTTTCTACACAAGAATTGTGATGCAGTGATGGAGGCGGAAAAGGCGACACATAACCGAAGTAAGAAAAAGCGCAAAACAAAGGACAAGGACGCCTCCTTAGACATTGAAATTGACAAGTATATTGAAGAAGAAGCAGGGGAACAATCTAAGAGCGAAGGTGGATCATGTATTATTGTTGATTGTAGTTAAATTTACAGATTTGTTAAGTTCTCTTCAAAATTCCACCGCGTTACACCATCCCCCGCGTTACGCCACGACTTACGTTAAACTGTAACTGAACTGAAAACTGCAGTTTAAACTGCAGTTTTAGAAAACTATGACTTAAAGTGCAAGAATCATTCCTCTTTCTTCGTACGAAGTTGTTATGTTTAAAAAACAAGTTATTTAAGTATAAAGTCAAAAGTATGATGCTAAGAAAAAATCTAGCGGTGAGCTTGTGTAGGCGACTCGCTTGTGAACTACGTTAGCCTTAAGCTCCTGCCTTTTGCAAAGTGATACTCGTATTCGGAACTGGCAAGCTGCATCTTTGCAAATTAAGATGTGGCGTTTACGGTCCGACTTCGAGTTAGGGCAGCCGCTCATAACGGTTAGAACACTTGAAACCCATCAAAACAACTATCACGCTATCCTGCCCTCTAGATCAGTATCTGAGGTCTTCTCGCCATGTAAAATCGACCTATAAGATTGATACCGCCTCAGCGTTCCTTTGACTTTTGATCTCCTCACCATAAAGAACACCGCTGCCGCAGCTCCGAGTATGAACAAGGGTATCCACCACTTGGCAGACTTTCCTAACAAAACAATTAAAGATGCATCATAAGAGTGCCACGATGAGCTACCAAGATGGTTGAAGATGGGAGTCGAAACAGGGCCGTTCAAGCTGTGCAGCTTGAAGTTGTCTAGGGGTCCAGCAAGGATCCTCAACTCTGATCTATTTTGTTGCAGGGCATGTATTGTCCTAGCCATATAAAATCAGTCGGAGGCGCACCTTTCAAGGCGAGCAGCTGCCGCAACTCTGGATAATCACTTACGAAGCATAATGGCACCCCGTACTGAACATAACAGTCGGATATGGAAATCCAAGCCACCGCCTATTATACATCTTCAAACTGCGTACCAACTTCCCCACGAACTCATTCCTTTTACTCGCCATCATGAACCCAATCGAGAAACCCGTCGGATGTGCCGCTGGAGCAACAAAGCTGAATCTTCGTAGCGGACCTAGCGATCTCGTGCATTTCAGATCCATATCAAGAACAACTCCTGTGCCAAGTCAGCATTAGCATCTAAATACTGTACACATAGACCAATATCCAACTCCCCAAGAGGCAAGAGACTGCAGAATAATACTCACCACCATACTCATACAGCACCAAATATCTCAACGCATCAATCCTCTGAATCAGATAACCATACTGCTCCCACATATTCAGCAACTCTGGAAATCTCTCCCTGACAAAATCTCCCGCATTCTCATCCGTCCACAGCATCGCCTCCCATCCCGGATGCAGCTCCAGACACGCATTCCTCGCATCGATCCATTTCCCCTGCGGCTTGTGACCCCCCAGCGCAATATGGTGCAGCACAGGTGGGACGAGGTCGCGGTACAACGGACCCGCCGAGTCCTGCGTGCGGCTGTAGTTCGCAAAGCTGAGATCAAAAGCGTCGCGGTCCGCGTTGGATGAGATGAGGAAGTCGGGCGCGTCCCGTGGCCAATTAAAGTTTAGGGAGAGGAGGGAGTAGGTCGTGCAGATCAGGGTGTGGAAATAGTAGAGCATGAGAATCCCGAAGATGATGCCATAGAAGAGGATGGGGTGCGTGCGATAGAGTCGTAATGACATGATCGAGAACAATTAGGTATAGACGTCGATATGGTACAATAATCCAAAAATGCTAAAATTCGAGCTTCGGGAGCTCTGACATTGTTTTTTCACGCCGGAAGTGGTTGGGGGTTTGGATGCTTATATATGACAGAGAGAATCTGTGGAGCGGAAGGGAATTTTGATTAAGCTTTGTCCCCTATGCTAGGCACCTTTTTGAGGTCATTAAACCACACATACCGGCTCAAAACTAGATACAAGTGCCGATCCCACGAGTACTGGCTATTGTGGTTGCGGAAGGCAGCGCGAGTCTTGACGTATCGCTGCCACGTACTGGCAACCAGCGCTTTGTGCCTGTAGCTGCGATCCGCCACGGGGGATGGGAAAGCCATCGCTTCCAAGATGCGCCAAGTAAAGGGTAATGCGGTCAGAGTGAGGTCACCAAGAAAGGTGTATTTGCGGAGAAGAGTGGTTGTGGTGACCATGTAAGCGACGGGAGCTTCAGCATTGGTCGATGCATAATTGCTAGGGCGTGCACATGAGCTTCGGAACCAACCAGGTTCAGGTGGGTGTAGATTTACCTTATAGCGGCGCTAACAGCCCTGTGGTTTCTATGTCCGGAGATCCCGTCTGAATCAAATGTGAGAATCTGAGTGGGAGAAAGCTCGTTAGTAACATTCCCAAAGCATACAAATCACTGAAAGGAAGAGAGAACTTACAGCGTCAATGTCCCATTTGTGGACATACTCGGTCACGATGCTTTGGATGAGATCCGTATTCCACCACGCCATCGGATTATCCTGCAATTCGGCTCGATCCAGCGCGATGCATCTACCCAGGTCGATACCCAGCGACTCACAGGAGCCCCTCAGCTCCTCTTTTCTCGTCTCGCCAATCCCAGTATTATTTCCTGCACAGTGTCAACCCCGAATATCAACTTCCTGCCTATGCAACCTCACCTGTAGACATAACCAGCAGGCCACCTCTAACATCATGATTCCTATCCAGCACCCCTAGAATGCTCGGTGCGAAGAACAAAGACTCATCGTCGGGATGCGCAGTCACGATCAGCAAATTCTTCGCATCCTGTAGTGAGGATGGTAAGATCCTTGCATCGCCGCCTACCAGGTATCCGATCAGCCACTGTAAGAACAGTGGCACCACCAGGAGGATCAGCGTGACGCGGAGTATCGAGCGCCACACGCGCCTTGAGAGTCTGCTAATAAGCCTGGATGCGGTGGGTCGTAGCATCGGGAATGGCTTAAATGAATGCGTGAGGAAAGGAGGTGGTTAAGCTCTGACTGAATTCCGAGCGTTGTTAATGGGGGCAGAAGCCAGTGTATATGAGGATTATCTTATGCGGTGAATCGCGGCATGGTGAAGAGCTGAATTGTTATGTGTTAGCAAGGGAAATCCGACGATCACCTTGGTTGGATGGATGATAGTGATACCGTGTTTGAAGTGTGTGCTCTGCGCAGCCTGGAATGCCCGGAAGCTGCGAATGGGTGCGCGCTGGTGCCAGGGTGAGGGTAAAAGGCGGCGGATTGAATCGCGCAAGCATAAAATCCGCCTTACTCGCCAAATCAGCTGGAAAGTTCGGAGCGTCATGAAGGCCAACCTGGACGCGTTGATCGGTTTCGCTGATTGAGATGCTTGTAATAGGCACAGCGGCGTAATGGGCACAATGGCGTAATGGGCACAATGGCGTAATGGGCACGATGGCGTAATGGGCACAATGGCGTAATGGGCACGATATCGTAATGGGCACGATATCGTAATGGGCACGATATCGTAATGGGCACGATGTCGTAAGGGCACGATGTCGTAAGGGCACGATGTCGTAATGGGCACCTTTTACCCACAACAATGGCAAGATGCTTACCAAAATCGAGAATTTAAAAGTCTAAAAGCCACTGCAGAACACTTTCAGGTTAGCAGAACCACTTTGATGCGTCGCGTGTCAGGACACCCTTCTCGAATCCAAGCACGACAAGACCAGCAACTTCTGTCTCCAAGTTAGTTGAAGAGATGACCTTAATCAAGTGGATTTGCTAATTCCCTTACGCTAGACATCCTACTAGACTTCAGCTAAGTTAGTTAAAGAGATGGCTGAAGAAATTCAATATGGTATGGGCACCTGATTCATCTTTCGAGAGGTCGAAGACAATGCATTACTCCCGAATAGCTCCTGTCAACTCGCCGTCGCTATCTCCCATCCACAGCCGTTCTTCTTGTAGAGATCATCAAACTGGTACTTAGCTTGTCCATCACCACATTCGAAATGGCAAGAGCACACCCCACCAGTTCGCCAAGAGACCTATTTGTGCTCCTCCGCAACCGTCTACAAATGAGGGCGGCGATACATACTATTACCGCAAACAAATTCCGGGTTTTACTTAAAGGGAGGGGCACGTCGGACGCCACAATCACGAGAACATGGAAGAGGCCTAACGAGAAAGCCATGAACCCTACGGAGCGATGAACAGCACGGATGATCCTAAGAGATACCCCAAGTGACCCCGCTCGGAGGCCAGCGCCCGAAATCGTAGAAACTCTGAAGCCAATGCAAAATAGTTATAGTGGATGTTGTGATGTACGCAGTGCGAGGTGCTCTCTTGTGTCACTGGATGACTGAGCGTGCGATGGGGATGTACGAGATGGCTATAGCTTCACTGTGTATGCAAGCAATGAGTGTGCCGTTAAGCATTGAGTAGCTAAACAAGATCCATCCGCTACGCATACATTTCATTTCACCATCTCCATCCACCCTCTTACCCCGATCCAGCCATCTCAAGCCTCAGCCGTACCACCCCCAAACTCCCCGCCAAGCCCATGAATAAGCCTCATCCCCTCCACCACTCCCTCCTTCCCTCCCTCCTCCGCTCTAACCTCATCCAGCAACCCCCCTTCATCCTCCCCTCCCCTCCCCATACCCCTCACCACCCTCAGCGCCCTCCGGAACTCATCTCGAATCGCCACAATCCCATTATGCGTCACCGTGCGCGCCACATTATGGTCCAGCTCAAACGGATCCTCAAGCGCAAATAGGTATCGGTGCCGAATCTCCTTTACTTCCTCCTTACGCACCACCTTTCTCGCTGCACCAGGCGACCCCGGCGTGCCGGTTCCGTTGGCTACCACTGTCGTCGCCGCCGGAGCAGCATCAGTAGTTGTCTGCGTAACTGTCCTTGCGCCCACCCACCCCTTCTCTTGCTTCGTGAGTAAACCGCCTCGAGTCCGCAAACTGAGTACTTCACGTCCCCAATCGAAGCCGCGCCCGCCACCGCCGCTCATCGGCCCATTCTGCGCGTAGTACTCGAAGAACCCCCTCAGTAGCGAGCCGACGCTTTCACCGTTATGGTTTAGTAGTCCGCGGCGCGCGAGGTCGGTGAGTTCGCGCTCATCGCGCCAGAAGGCGACGTTGGCGCCTTGGCAGGTTTGTGGGGCGATGGCGGGAGCGTGCGGTGGGGGGTTGTGGTGTTGGAGGTTTGGTGCGACGGGAGGCTGGGCGATGTTGACGAGGTAGTGGAGCACCATTAGGACGTAGCCATAGCTGGAGAGGGTGCCGCGGTAGGGCGTGTTGATGGCGCGTAGCTTGGCCCAGTGCTTGACGAAGAGGATCATGGGCTTGATGCGCGGGTCGGTGAGGGAGTAGCAGCGCAGGAGGGCGGTGTTATGGAGGGCCAGCGAGGCGGCGAAGTTGATATCGCATTGAATCCCGATTTTCGTTTTGGGGAACTCGAGATGGTCGTGGTAGCGGTCCCGAGGCTTGCAGGCGTGCGTTGGGTCGGGGAGGGTGGCGATTTTCTCGAGGAGGGGGAGGAGGTCTGGTGTAGATGGTAGGAGCGGTGCCGAGGTTTCTGTGCTAATGCTGGCTGATAGCAGGACAGAGATGTACTTCTCAACATATGGGCGGTCTGTTTCTTGGTAGGTATTTTTAGCTAATGCTTTCTCAAAGTCGCGCGCTAATTCGAGGATTCGGTGATGGAGGCCGATTGTGCTGAGAGAAATAGGCGGGTTCCGGGAAACTATGGACTGTATGGTTTCGCGGATTTTGATGCCCCTCGCGCCGTTGATGTAGTGAGTGATCACAATAGCCAGAGCAGTATTCTCAGCACCAGGCTCATCCTTACCACCCAGCTCAAGCAAAAGCTTACGAACTCTCGCATAATACTGCGCTGCGCTCTCATTTTCTTGATGCTCAAGGAATACGAGTTGCAACGAGGCGACCTTCTTCAACCTCTCCAGTGATTGGTGAAGTCGTCTATTGTATACTGCAGACTCTGCCGTAGTGCAGTCCAATATCGTTCTCCACTGCTTAACCAGATCATCTGAAAACCCTTCCGACCACTCAGTCATCTCTGGCAAAGGTCTGGAGCTCCATGCCATGGCTAGGCGCTCTCCTTCGATCTGTTGGTAGACCCCGCCAAGAGATTTTGCCATCGCAGGGTTTCCGACTCGGTCGAAGACTAGGGACTTGTATTGGACAAGCTGATCCCTGAGTTCCTGGTTCTCGAGACCGTTGACAAAGGCTTCGCAAACATCTGCGAGGATTCTAACCTCATCTTCAGTTGGGTTCGTTCCATACGCTGCCCCGACATCCCTTCCTCCTAACTGCCGCAAAAGTCGTTTCGCAGAGCCGTAGTAATCGCCAAGGGAGAGGTTCTTCTTTTGACGGAACGTGGACAGTGTCTCGGTGTATATCTCTTCAGTAGTCTTTACTTTCTCGATTACAGCAACCGTGGGTCTCTCAGCGTCCTCTAGTACCTCAGCCTTCTCGACAGCCTCCAGGTCCTCTTCAACGACATCTTCATCAGGCTCATCGACATCAAACCCATTTTCCCATCTCAGTCGTTCTTGAAGCAAGTCGGCCCTTAATTTATCGGTTGGCTTCTCACACAACTTAATAATCGGAACTCGTGTTCTCGTTAACAACCTCGCACCACAACCCCACTCAAGCAATGCTTTCTCAAGGATTCTCGGAATCGGGGATTCAGACGACTCAGGCGGAATCTTGGACAATGGACTCAGCAACGCCAAATCCATATCCGATCCCTTCGTCGCATACCCAGACGCCATACTCCCAAAGCACGTCAACTGCACCGACTCTGGCACAAAATCCAGATTGCCCAGCTCCTCTCGCTCGTACTTGACAACTGTAGCCCGGCATACTTGCTCGGCTTTTGCTCTGAGGGCCTCTTTTTCTGCAATCTCTTCGGTGTTAACTCCAACATGAGGAACGATTGCCTGGACCAAACTTTCAAGAAAATCGCTCTGAGCGGAGATCTGCTCTGGCGAGACTCCGTAGGGAGCTGCAGTACGAAGAGGCGCTCCATACCCTCCCGGTTGGAATAGTTGACGATTATGTGCAGGTGGTCGCTGTGGAAACTGTGATGGTCCTTGTTGGAAGTTCTGGTGGTCTTGCTGCCACTGCTGTTGGGAATGGCCTTGACGATACCCAGGAGCTTGCCCCGTAAGTTCACCACCAAGCCCGGGAGGAGGGCCCTTCACGTGCGTATCTTGGAATCCGGGGCCACGGTGCATGGCTGGCTGGGGCATTGGGCCTCGTTGGAAGTCATGCTGGTAGGGAATTTGTTCTGAGTGCTGCTGGAACATGACGCCATTCTGTGGATTGCCGGCAGGACGATGAGGAAAATGCTGGCTACCATGGAATCCTGGGCTCCCTTGCGGGGCCGTAGACACCGAGGCTTTATCATTTACAGGAATAGCCATTTGCGAAGCGAGCTGTCGGCGCTGGAATTGATTAAGGCGCTTGTGAGTAGTTTGAGGGGCCTTTTGAGGCGGAGCTTGCTGTATGGGCTGCGCAGGTGGGCCTTGAGTCCGCATCATGCTTCTCTGCAAATAGTCTTGCTGCTGAGCCAACGAAGCACCTCTCGTATGAGGAGGAAGCGTAGGAACAAATGCTGGAGCGGCTGGCTGTCTCTGGTCTTGAGTGACGGGACCTGGCGAGTTATTCATAATTAAGCCTCGGAGCCTGTCCTCAAGATTGGCACCAGTAAGGTCCTGCTGTTGATGATTGTGAGACATCTCTTTGACACTTGGGCGCACAGAGGCTTCGGTATCTTGATGATTTTAGTGCGGAGACCTCAACGCCGAAAACCCCAATGAAATAAAACGGTCGTTAGGATACCTGGAATGGTCCCTCTTTACCGAAGCCTTTGGGCTATGGAATATAGCTCTGGGATGTAGTGTCCAGGGCGTAGCCTCTTAAGGTACAGCTTCACGTGAGCGAGCCTCCGACGAATGATCCGATTGATAGGCTCCGTTTTGGGGATGCCATTCCCCAAAGGATGATATCTTGTTAGCTGGGTTCCTTCTCATGCATACACTAAGATATAATGGGCTGGTAGTTCCTAGCCTTGACAGGGTCTAGGTAGAGAGTCGACTAGGTCGTCACTTTATGTGTGGAGCAGAGGTTGGGCTATGGAAGAAGGTAAGCGGCCGCTTGTGGTTGTGATAAGCAAAGGATACATGAAAGAATTACCAGTCTCGAATTTTGAATCAATAACCAAGAGGCGCCTCAATCATTTATGTGATAAACGAAGCTCCTTTAGTTAATATGTAGCTGCACGAAGCTTTAAGAAGTGTCAGAACAATGTCTGAATGAATCAGAGGAGAGGAGAGATGTTAAGAAGTCACGTGTAAAGTCACGGGAAGGCCATGAATCTGGCTGCAGCCATCGCGTGAGCTAGCGCCCACCCTAGTATATGCGAAGTTCATGGGGTTCGTCCCAAGTCCAAAGAAGATGAGCGAGGCAAGGCACCAAGACATATTCACTCTCTCTCTCCATTGTTCGCCCATTTACTCCTCTTGCCACCACTCCCTCTCACCTCCATACCAGAGATAACACAGAAAGGGATTTACCAACAATCATCTTTGAAAGCGCAGAAAACTGAGCCTTGCGCACCGCCTCTTCCGATTTCGAATCGTCGCTCTGACGTCGCGCGCGTGGGGGGGCGATACACTCCGATCACATTCTCTGCGCTGCAACACAACGCTGTACCACATCTAGAGGACTGCTTGAATACTGGTCTGCCATACTGAGCTTCTCGACTGCGTATCAGTGCCTCTTGTGCATCCTCGCCCCCCCCTGGATAGCTGCCTCGGGGCCACACGAACGTCACTGGTGATCATGAGCGCTTCTCCAGCTGGCATCACTCCCAATGGAACCCCTACACCAAACTCAGGCGGGCAACCGCCAAAGATCATCCGAAGAGCAAAGGCCGATCCATTCGCCACATACAAGAAACCGGTTGTGCGGCCACAGGCTGCACCGAGATCACGCCAACAGAATCAGAATGGACTCACTGCCCTGAACAAGCCACCACCGCTACCTCGCCCCCTCCCACGCTACCCAGGGAATAATAGAGCAGCTGATCCTGCGGGTCCAATCAGCAATGCGCCGCCACAGCCCCAGCTTGACTTCACACGCAAGTCCAATATCGGAGAATACGAAGACTTTGCGCTCACGACGACGAAGAGGGCGATGCGCGAGGGCCTACGATACCATATTGCACGATTTGCCTCTAAGAAGAAAGTCGACCCAACGAATTCTGACGACTTCATTAAGCCGGTCTCTCTCCATCGCCGCGACCCAAGACAACCGCCTGCTGGGAAAGTCGCCAAGGATGAGGATACGGTGGTGGGGGAGCCAATCGATGACAAGGAGAGAGAGAAGCAAGAAATCGCTCGGGCCGCCAAAGAGGCACAGCGAGCTGCTGATCTGGCCCAGATTGCACCCTCTGGAAACAATGCGTCGGCCTTGGCAGCCAAGAAAGTCCAGTCGTTCAAGAATGAGAAGACGACCCAGGTTCATCGAACGGCCCAGACCGAAGAGGAGATGAAGGAGTCGGATCTGCGCTACGAAGAGGCCTTGCCATGGCATCTTGAAGACGCCGAGAACAAACAAACTTGGGTGGGCAACTACGAGGCTGCTTTGTCGGACACGAACGTCATCTTCGTCATCGACGGGACCAATTTCAGGATGGTTCCGATCGAGAAGTGGTACAAGTTCACGCCCAAGAATCAGTTCAAAACTTTGACGATCGAGGAGGCAGAGGCCGAGATGAACAAGAAGTCGAAGGCAAATAGATGGGTTATGCATGCTGACCAACAGAACCAAGAAGCCGCAGAGAGGCAGAGGGGGATTCAAGCCATGGCTGGCCTGTACAGTAAAGTCAAGGGCGAGAGGCCAATGCCTAAGAGCGAAGCTAGAGATCACGACGATCTTGACATTACAGATGATCTGTTCCAAGATGATGATGAGCAGGCCACTGTAGAGCCAGAAAACGATGAGGACACCAAGTTGGCTGCTGAAAAGATCAAGCGGGAGCAGTTGGGGGCGAATTTGTTTGGAGACGCAGATGAGGAAGAAGTTGAGGAAGAATTCAAGGAGGAAGCGAAAGAAAAGGAGATGAAGAAGCGCCTTGGCAAGAGTCTGAGGAAGTCGCTCAGAAAGCGCGAAAAGAACTACACTTACGAGAGCGATTCCTCAAATCCATATTCTTCTTCAGTATGTCACCAATTCCGTTGTATACATCACCTACTAACAAACTACAGAGCGGCGATGAGACCACAGATGACGAGAAGCAGGCCGAGGAAGACCGCAAGAAGGATGAGGAGGCCAAGCTGAAGGAGAAAGAAAAGCTTGGTGTGCCAAAGATTGCCTCTGGCGCTTCAACAAAGGGAACAACCACCCCAATCGGACGCCCAAGGAGCACTGATCCTCACAAGAAACACAACCACCTCAAACGTGCTGGATCTCCCAACCTCTCGGCCTCTGAAACAAGCGGCAACGAATCCACCCGCAAGAAGCACAAGAAGAAGCACATGCTCTCGTCCTCTCAGCCAACGGGAACATCCACACGTCGCTCTGGCTCACCTCACCCATCCTCCTCAGCCCCAGCAGGTGGCGTCAGCCCACGCAAATCCTCGATCGTCAAGCTGCACGTCAGCTCCTCGCGCCTCTCTGACATCCAAGCCAACGCCCCCCACCCAGCCATGAGCGACAGCGAAATGTCGGACGGCGCCGGCGGAAAGCGCAAATCCGGCATCAAGCTCCGCCTCGGCACCAGTGCCTCGCCTTCCCGCGCCGGCAGCCCCACCAACGGCAGCCGTGCTGGAAGCCCCGCCCAGGCACAGGGTATGACCCCTCTTTCTTTGAGCACCTCACAAATACCCTTCAGACCCACGTCGCCTCCAAAGCCTCGTGGCGGCTCTCCGGCTTCAGCACGCGTGACTAACAGCTCTGCAGGTGCGGCGTCTCCTATTCGACCGATTATGGCGGATGAGATTGCGGCTGCGATCCCGGCGGAGGGTATTGCTATTGGAATGCTGCTCAAGATTTTCTCGGGCCGTATCAAGGGGAATGGGAAGGATAAGGAGGATCGTGAGAAGTTTATTAAGCTGGTTAAGGAGAATTCTGTGTTCAGCCAGGAGGATAAGCTGTTGAGACCAAGAGCTACATAGAGTGTTTAGATAGAGAGAGGGTTTTTATAGGAGAGGGTTTTTATAGGGGTTTAGGAGGGAGAGGCATGGGATGATGGGTAGATGGAGCTATTTGCACGTATCGTCAGACATCATAGGGGATGTGGGGGCTATAGGCGAAGACTGGTTGTCTGCCTGGCTTACCCTTCTGACATTAATTAGTAGAATGCAAACCTCAACGAACTTTAGTTTCATCTCTCCAGTGACTTAAACGGCTCGGGTGAATTCATACTGAGCTTGTGGCGGAAGTAAACACATCACGTGATCTATATTCAAATGCCAAGACATTTATCCCAACTACGCAGCCTCGTCTCAACCAGAGGCACACCCATTGCCAAAAACCACGAACCCCACACCCGCAAACATGTCACTCTCCTCCTACCTCGCCTCCAAATACCTCACCGCCGACCCAGGCCCCTCCTCCTCCTCCTCCACCAAAAAACGCAAGCGCAAGACCAAAGAAGCATCCGCCAACACCGGCCTCATCATCGCCGACGACGACGCGGACTGGGCGCCTGTCCGCAAGGACGACGACGAGGATGCCATCGCAGCCGTGACATCTGGGTCCTCTGCCGAATTTCGCAAAGCTAAACAGAGCGCTTGGAAATCCGTGCGTGAGCCAGCCGCCGGGGGAGGAGATGATGCACAGGCCGACGCGATTGTAGCGCAAGCGGCGCGGGAGAATGAGGAAGCGGGGAGGGGGGATGAGGATCCGAGTATTGTGAAGATGGGGGATGGGACGCATGCGGGACTGCAGACCGGAGCGGCGGTTGCGGAGCAGATGGAGAGGGCGGCGAGGAGGGAGAGGGCGAGGTGGGAGAAAGAGGAGCAGGAGGGGGTGGGAGGGGGAAGGAGGAGGAGACGGTTTATCGTGATGCGACGGGGCGGAGGATTGATATTAGTATGAGGAGGGCGGAGGCGAGGAGGGAGGAGGAGGAGAGGGTCAGGAAGGAGAGGAGGGAGAGGGAGGAGATGGGAGGGGAGAAGCAGAAGGAGGTAAGGGAGAAGAGGAGGGAGGAGCTGGAGGAGGCGAGATTTATGCCTGTGGCGAGGGGGGTGGAGGATGAAGAGTTGAATAGGGAGTTGAAGGGGAGGTTGAGGTGGGATGATCCGGCGATGGCGTTCTTGACGCAGAAGGAGGAGGGTGGAGGGGGTGGAGGGGGTGGAAGTACGGCTGCTGCGTCGGGGACGGGGAAGAAGACGTATAAGGGGGCTGCGGCGCCGAATCGTTATGGGATTCGCCCGGGGCATAGGTGGGATGGGGTGGATCGTGGGAATGGGTGGGAGGGTGAGAGGTTCAGGGCGCTGAATAGGACGAAGAGGAATAAGGAGCTGGATTTTGCATGGCAGGAGGATACTTGAAGGAGCTGTTACGTTGCTCTAGTTGGTGGTGGTTGGAAGGGAGACTGTATTATATCCCCGTAGCACGGAAGCTTGAATACTGATGATATCACTGTGTTGCATATTGTAGGAATTTGGAAAATGGATAAGTTAATGGATAAATAATATAAATTACTTGTTGAATAATATTGCTATATATTAGCACGCTGAAGACTCAGACACGGTTATATTTAAACAGAATCTGTGACTTTGATGAGATTGCAGCACAGTACCTGGTAACGACCAAAGTCAACAACAGTAACTGTACCTTCCCCCAACTCGAACCGTCATCGTCTAAGCGGTATGGTCTGACGATGTCTCCTTCCTCAACTTTAACACGCTCGTACTTTCCCCCATCCACAAACCTACCTTTCGTCTTCTCGACTACTCTTCATTGTACAATACAATCAGTCTTCAAGTTCGCGTTCAAGCAACTGATGGTTAAGGTCAGTCTCACTCTCATTCGAGCGTGTCTTTTCATTATCACATTCAAATTACTTACAACTTCAGGTGCAATAGTGCCAACAACACCGTTTTTGTTCACCTCAAAGAACGCATTATTTCACATCAGGAGCAGTTTCGCCAGAATACCAAACCCTAAAACTTCAAGGAACCTTCCCACCATGAGTCGTTGGGCTGAGATTACTTCACGCTGTGCGCGCTGGTTCAGCTCCTATCCTTTCCTGGAAGCGTTCCTATTCGCATGCGCTATCATTGATGTCTATACCTTTGTCGGATCCAGCATATACTTTTGCTGTGCTTCCGGCCCTGTCAACTACCCAGGCTCAAGGTTCAGTGTCTGTCACTACAACTACACGGTCCAGACTCCGACTACGAAATTGCTCGCAAAAGCCATTTCTTGCGCCGCCGGACTATTTGTTTTTGTCAGTCGGATGCAGAGGGCAAGGTGGATGAGAGGGGGACCCGAAACAAAGCATGTCGACCTACTGAAGTTTGCAGCAGATCATCTGTACACGAAGATTGAGATTGACTCTTTGGTAGTGGAGAACAAAGCTTGGGTCGAGGAGCAGAATGCTATAGCCCAGGAGCAGAATGCTATAGTCGTGGAGCAGGATGCTGTGGTGTCGGAGCTCGCGGCATGGGTATCGAGGGTGTCAGCTTTGGTAACTCCTCTGTCTAATTCTATGGTATCAAAAGGAAATGAACAGACAGAGGAAGAATCTTTGCCACTGGAGACAGAGCAACAACAGGCTTTGGTGGAGCAGTTGGCAGTTCTGGTATCGAAGTTATCCGACTTGGCGTCCAAACAGGTCGATTTCGAGGCGACAAAGAAAAATGAGCGGACAAAGCAGGGAGAACCTCCGTACAGAGGCGTTGGTGGAAGTGGAAGGGCGTCTGGGAATGGAGAGAAAAAAGATAGAGACTGAGAAAGCAAAGTTGCAGGAGGAGAGAGGAAGCTTGGAAGAGGAGAAAGAGGCTTTGAAAGCAAAGGCCAAAAAATTAGGGATTGAGGAAGAGAAGCTTCGAACGACGACACCAGAGGAGTTCAAAAAGCTCATTGACGCACAGGAGAAACTCCATGATGATCTGAATACACTGTACGACGAGATAGAGGCGCCTAGCGACGATAAAGGTGAGGAGGAAATCGCCAAACTGGGGAGAGACTTCAGAGCCAAGACAAGGGAGACATTTTTTTTAATGGCCGCAAACAACAAGCGAATCTCCGAAGCATGGGACTTACTTGAGTTGATGGACTCTATTACCTCTGTAATACAGCACCAAAGTGACTTCAACGACTATTACGTAAAGACAGTGGCGATGTTTCTCGCTGAACATATGTTGGAAGAGAATCAAGCCAAAGAAGAGACTAAGAGGAAGGAGGAGATCCAGGATGAGAAGGAACCTCGGGTGCTCGAAGTCACCGAAGGGGTTCCAGAAGTGGAAACATCTCTGGTACAGGAAGTGCACGCGGCGGATGTGGAGCCCCGTGACAAGGTAGTCCTACAGGTCCAAGATGGGCTTCAGTAGCTTTGCTTATGGGATCAAAACATTTCATACAGTGAATTATTTGCTGAGGAACAGACCTTGGTGGCTGTGAAGAAAGCTGTTACAGTGGGGGAAGCTTGTAAAAATAATAGGTGGAAAAGTTGTATTACTTGGAACTACAGTGCTACGTGGAAGGTTGCTAGAAGCTCATCACAGAATTAGGTGGAATACGAGTGTTAAAGCACAATTAGTTAGCACAAGCAAACATCAATGAAAGAATATGCTTTCATTATATCCACCGATTCATTGTCATCCTTTCGTATATATCGTACACTCATAAAGAACTCCCCTTTTCAGCCCTCAAATTCATAGAGCCCTGATATCTTACACACATCTCCTCGCGATCATTCCGAATCTGACGTCCAGAATGCCTCAATACCATCATCCCAGTCCCAGTCCAAATCCTCATAATCGTCCATATAATAGACCTCCTCCACAAGATTGTCATCCTGCATTCCCAACCATGGATCAGCAACCCCATCCTCATCCTCGACACCAACTTGTCTACCTGACCGAGGCTCAGAATTCTCACCCTCAGCATCATCACGGCACTCCAGATCAACCGCATCCGTCATATCCAATTTATCCATCTCCATCTTAAACATCATCTCCATGTCATCCACATCCATCAAGTTCTCCTGAACCCACTCTCCGGTTTGTTCGACAACCTCGTCATCACTATTCTCATCCACCCACATCTCCCTAGCATACTCCTCATTCACCCACTTCTCCATAGCGTTCTCCTCATCCACCCACTTCTCCATATCATTCTTCTCTTTCACCAACTTCTCCTTGGCATTCGTCTCCTCCACCCACTTTTCCCTAGCAATCCTCTCCTTGAACCCAAACTCTTTCATAATCTTACGCATGGCCCACTTCAGCGTCTCCTTAATTCCCACCTCCCCCGGCCGCACCGCCAAGCCTCGCTCCTTCGCCAGCTCAGACACATTCTCATACTTGGCATCGGGAACGAGTCCCTCTTTCGCCTGCTGGGTAGTCACGTCAAAGATCCACTGGTGCTCCTCAACGAACGCAGGCCAGGCCACGCCATCGAAGTAGGATTTCTCGCGCCATGTCATGTACCCCTTACTGAGCGGTTTATTGTACTCTTTGCGCGCGAATCTGCGCTTGCGCGTTCCCTCGCGTGTTGCAGACAGGAAGAGCGAGAGGTCGTAGTTGGGTGGATCAGCGGAGGAATCGACCATGGCAGGCTGGAGGATCGTAAAGCCCTCGACGAAGACGATGCCGCGGAAATTACTCTGTACGAAGTTGAGCCCGGGGAAGCCGACGAGGTCGTTCAGCTTCGTCATGGCCTCGGTCCAGTACTTGACTTCGGTGCGGAGCTTGATGATGAAGGGGAGGAGCTTTCGGGTGCCGTCTGGGAGCTCGGGGTATTGGAGGGAGTTGCGCTCGGAGGTGAAGCAGTAGTGTGGTATGAGGGAATTGGGCTTGATTGGTTTCTTGATGTAGCCGGATTTACCTTCCTTGAGAACGGCCATGGTGGGGTCTTGGAGGTAGGGGCCGTATATTCCATGGTCAACTATGTATGGGCCCCATGTAGGCTTGTTTACCCTGATCGTTACGATGTTCCATTCTTCATCAACCTCGAGGATTTCGTCTTCCAGAATAGGCTCCTCTTTCTTGGCAGAGTCATCTCTCTGGACAGGTTCTTCTTCATTGACCGATTCTTCTCCTTTGGTTGATTCCTGCTCTTTGATGGGAAGGCTAGGGTCGCGAGGTCCATCTTTGTCGGGACCATCAATGCTTGGTTTCTTCAGAAGGTAACTATAATCCTTGACCTTACCCCTCTCAGAAATTTCCATGTCGGAGTCGAGCTTAGATGCCTTGGCACGCGCAATAGCGATGGCGAGGGCAGCAAAGTCAATCACAAGGCGCGTGTCACGGTTCTTGCCATGGCGAAGCTGGAGGCTGAGAACTTCTCTGTCGTAATTAGGCGCATTCCATCTACGGGGAGTGACATCCCGATACTCCGTGACAAGTCGATCCTCGTCCACGGGTGTGATCCTGTCTGCTTCCTCTACAGTAAAGCCCTTGAACATGCAGGTGCGTGAGACGAGGCGCTCACCCATCCATTCTTCAAGGTAGCACTCTGCCCATTGAACTTGAGGTCCAGTAGGGAGGTTATTAGGAACCAGGTGGTCGTCTTGATGGAGGGCGACGGAGGTGAAGCCGCTTCCCGGAGTAGCAGTGCCGTTGCCAAAGACATGAAGAAGGAGGTTGGAGAGGGTTGTCTTGCCGCTTGAGGTTGGACCCGCAATGGCGATTACGAGGCGCTCAGGGATCGGTGCAGGTGTAGATGCTGGAGGCTTGCGTGCTCGAGACGCGCGTGTTGGAGTGGACGGTGCTGGAGCCCATGACTCTGGACGGAACGGCTCTGGGGAGTACGGCACTGGAAACGGCAGCCCTAGAGACTCTAGAGATGGCAGCTCTGGAGACGACGGTGGAGACCACAGCTTTTCAGTCCACGGCTCTGGATACGGCGGTGACAGCGACGTGCATGGTGGGTTCTTGGCTGCTCGGGACTTGGTTGGGGTCTTGGGTGCTGCTGGAGATGTGGATTCCTCTGACGATTTTGACGTTGAGGTCCCAGCTGCTGGAGACACAGATGATGACGACGTGGAAGCCGGGGTCCTGAATGCCAGAGGCGATGATGTCGAGGACGTGGATTCTGGAGTCTTTGGTACTGGCAATGCAGGTGGAGATGGGGATCGTCCAAAGGACATAATTTCAGACATCCATAATTCAGACATTGACCTTTCACGTTTGCTTTCAGGGGATAGTCCGGACAATGTGGACATTGTGTCTGATTCAGATGAGTGGGACATTGTCGCTGTATGTGCCCCTTTGTTTTGCGGTTTGGAAGATCAAATCGGTTCTTGGTGATCTTTTCACGCTTTGTTTTGATATTGAGGAAATTGAATAAACAAGCCCAATCTGGTGAGCTTCTGCGTGCTTTGTGCTGCCGTGTTCTTTGCACAGTTTGCGATGAAGAAAAGTAGAATCAAACTCGTTCCCGGTGATCTCTTACAGATTTGTTGTGAATGTTGAAAGAAGACTGGTCAAACCCATTCCCGGTGACCTTTTGCCCCTTTGTGATGATGATTGATGAAAGATAGAAGCCCTAACTCGTTCCTGGTGGACTTCTACTTTGTCAATATTGCTGCAAGACCAGACTCGTTCCTGGTGATCTTGTAACAGCGTTGTGATGCTGGGTGAGGAAAAGTGGAAGAACAATCTCGTTCCCGGTGAACTTCCACTTTGTTGACGTGCCGAAGATTGGACAAGGGAGGAGAAGGGAGAAAAGCAAAGAAGACAGAACCAAACTCGTCCCTGGTGGTTCCCAAAAGCCCTCGTGTCGATGGCGAATGCGATGGTGAAGTGAAAACGCGTAAATCCCCCCTCTGTTGCCAATGTGCCGTGGAGCGAGGTGAATCGGAACTGAAATAGGGGGGCCAAACTCATTCCCGGTGGCCCCCCTAATTCGATGGGTTTCCGTGGCCGCTTCCGCCAACGTCGTCGTCAGTGAATCCGCCAGGCCTGATTCGCCGGCAGGCGTCAGACCCGCGCCCCCTATCACCAGCGAGGTGAATCTATGTTCACCGACACCCCCCCTCCCCCCATCGTCGCCGCTGCCCAAACCACCATCACCGCCTCACCTCGACCGCGCCATCACGTGGCGACCTCCAACAACCACCAGCTGTCGACAGCCACGAACTGGCCGGCTGGCAGGGGCGGGCTTCATCCCTTCCCAACCCCTCGGTCACCAGGATCTGGCTTGGCCTCGCTGGCCGAAGACAAAGCCACTCAAATGCACCGCGACAAGAAGAGTCACTCCGTACGCCGTCTCGATCCAAGGCAGCTGGGCGGTCATCACTCCAGCACTAGCCCGAAGGCAGTATCGAGGGCTCGTCATCGGCCCAAACCGAGCACTCGCGATCTGGTCTAGCTCGTCCCCCGCCGCCGCCCTTAGGCTCCTCTTCGCCTTCCATCGGGACGGCCATCCTCCGCACGCCCGAGGCCGGCAACACACAAACACACCCTCCCCCGCCACGGCCACCCTCCTCTCACCTCCCGCAACCCCCCCCCATCGTTCTATCCCCATTTCCGATCTCACCCCCCCCAACAACCCCCTCTCCCCCGGCCCCGGCCGCTCACCCGACCGGGCCCCCCCCAACCCCCCTACGCCGTCGACCACCCCATCCCCGCCCTCTCCTCCCTCCCATTCGCGGCATGGGCCTCAGCATCCGGGTGCCAGACCCTCCCCCCCGGCCCCTGGACCGCCAACTCCCCATCGACAAACACAACAGCGCGGCGCCCACCGCCCATGGGGCCGAGCTCGATATCCTGAGAAGGGGCCGGCCAGGCACGGTTGTGGTCGCGGTAGGCGGCGGAGCGGGAGCGGGCTTGCATGTAGCAGCGTTGGGTGAGGCCGCCCAGGAAGCCGAAGACGCAGGCCGCGCCGCAAATGGTGAGGACAAGCCCCACACCGGCGAGAGGCATGGTGGCGGTGGTGGTGGTGGTTGGTCGTGTTGGTGATATACTGCTGTTTATGTGTTAGCGGAGTTTTGGAAAGGAGGGTTTGCGGAATGGGAAGGGGAAGGGGAAGATTGGTGAAGTGGTTCGTGTGGGTGAAGGATCTCTTGTGGGAAAGTTCAAGGAAGCTGACAAAAAATAGGAGAAGAACAGGAATGGGAAAGATGGAGGAAGGGCAAGGGAACTGTGATCTCGGCGACGTAGATCGATGGACACCGTCAGAGCCAGGAGGATGATCTGGGAGAAGGAGCTGAGAGGCGGCGACCTCGAAGATCAAGAAGGAGAAGATGGAGGAGGGAACCATCGGAACACGAAGAGGAGTTCGGCGACGGTGACCATGACCATGGAGGGCAGGGTCGGTCAGTCTAGGAGAAGGAGCTCGAGGACTGTGCCGCCGAAGCCCGAAGAAAGGAAGCTGCCGCCCTAGACGCCGAAGAAAGAAGCCCTGAACAAGGCGACTTCGATCTCGGAAACTCGGAACAAAAGAAGGCAATGAAGAAAAGAAACAGTACAATACATACTCTCAAGATACGATCTTCGTGATCGTAGTGCTGGTGCTGGTTCTGTGGTTGTGCAGTCGTCGGTGTCGGTGTGATGTTGTTGTTGGTGTTGGTTTCGGCGTGGAGGTTCGGTGTTGACAAGTTCACAGCGGAACTTGTTCGTGTGTGGGCGGCCGATTTCCTTTGTGCGGTGGCTACGGCTACTGACAGGGGTACCAGGGATTTCGGTGTGGGAAGTGAGGGAATTCGGCTGCGTGTGTGTGAGCAGGGAGAGGGTTGGGGCGGCTTAGGCGGCCTGTCAGGGGTTACGGGGGTTACAACGGGGAAGCGGCACAGGGGAGAGGGCAGTGAGAATATGCACGGGGAGTGCGGAACCGACTTCGTTTTGCGTTGGGCGAGACGCTGGGATACGATGGGATGGGAAGATTGGTTTTCTCGTCCTTATGGGAGTGAACTTCTCCCATGGCTCACGGGGACACGAAAGGGTTATGGAAATACCCAAGGGGGGGGCTCTCAACCGCAAGGCATGGTGGGTGCCGATCCCTCTGCTCTTCAACGGGTCCAGGGAGACTGGCCGCTGGACCGGCCACACCAAGGACCGATTCTAGATCGATTTACGGCCTTCCCCGTATCGGTTTTGGCCATCTTGCGGCATGCGACGGATCAGCTTTCGATACGCCTCCGGATTCCGTCTAAAAATTCCTCAGGACTTCCCCGAGGCCGGCTAACGGTCGCCACCGAACCACCCACGCCAATGCAGAACGGTGGGTGGGGGGGCACATCAGCCATCCCCGATCTCACGGGGTGCCGGCGCTAAGGTTGCCATGGCACGCCCCCTCTCCCAGCTAGGGGGGCGTGTTATGGCAACTTTTTGTTCAATGAAAGTTCCGGCGGCGGCTCCAACCGCCTAGGGTGCCAGCTTCCCATTCTTCCCACGGGACGGCTCTCGGGATCGAAAAAGATCTCCTGATTGAGATCTCCTCGAAAACGGCCTCCTTTCTCGGTACCATGCTTATGGGCCTTCACGGCTGGTAAGCTGAGGGTGGGAGAGATACTCTTCCCCAACTACATGTTAGGGCTGGTCTCACAATTTCCCTCCCATGGTGGAGTGTGTCTCTCCTCCCTTCTGGGGAGTGATAAGTCGGTGGGGGTGTCTTTTCTCCCCTTCTGGGGAGCGACAGTCAAGTGGGTGTGTCTCTCCCCTCTTCCACGGATTGAACCTCTGGTTCGAGCAAACCTCCGGTTCGAGGTCTCCGGAGAACCTTCGCCTCTTCGGGCCTCCTTTTCGGATCCCTTTTTCGAGTCCATACCCATGGACTCCTTCCAACCCGGAACCGAGGGCGGGAGACGCCATCTCACCCAATACGGGTTGGGACTGGTCCTACAACCGTCCCATGGTCGTCTCCCACCATCCCCAAGATGGGGGATCTGGCTCTAGGACTCGGAACAAACGGTCCCTTTCTTAAGGACACCTTTTCGGACGGACCCCCCGTTTCCGGATCTTTTTTTCGGGCCTCTTTTTCGGACACCTTCTCGGACTGCCCCATCGGTTCGGTGTGGCCGTACCCATGGGCCTTCACCGATCGAGGACTCGAGGGTGGGAGAGACCAGCACCAACCCATGTGTAGGCTGGTCCTACAACCTCCATGGTTGGTGCGTCTCTCCCGCCTTTAACCGCCTCGTTTTCGACCGGAGCGGGACTCTGGTCGGTATCCAGGAGTGTGCCGTCCTCCGGATATGTCCATTGGAGGCCGAGCAAGAGGCAAATGACCGGTCAGGCTGGGGGTGGACATGGAAAAGAGCGGAGGGGGAAGTGAGGAAGAGAGGCTGGTGGCAACCCCAAAGGGCTGCCACCAGACAATTTCAGCCGCAGCTTCGGCCGCCACGGCGGCGCTGCCGGCGGGAGTATTTTCGGCCCCAAGGGCGGGCGAAAGGACGGCAGGGGCAGCCTGGCGAATGTTCGCTGGGGCGAGGGGGCGCGGATGGAGGCTCCGACGGGGTTGAGGGAGGTAAGGGAGGTGGGGGGGTGGGGGTGGCACCATAGAGGGGTGGCCATAATGTGTCGGAGGTACGAAGGAGAGTGTGGGGAGTGTAGATGTCGGGTGGTTTTGAGAGGAATATGGGACAGTTTGATGCGTGGGTGGGAGCTGTCCGACAAGCTCTCCACTGAGCTGTCTAAAGAGTCCTCCGTTCTCTCCATTCCCGCCGCGGCAGCCCCAACGCCCGAGCCACGCGGAATAGGGAGGATATTGACGGGGCAGGGTGCACGAGTAGGGTAGAACTTTCTGTACTGTACGCGCGAGAATGTGATTATGAGACTTCATTTTCACTGGTTTTGCGGAAATGTAAATGTGAATGTGAATAATAAAACTGCAATGATATGATACTTGAACTGAATTGAATTAAATTGAAATCTAGACATATTGATGATGAAATTGCGGGGGTTTTATCTCCATTGGCTTGGGGTGGAAGACTGGAGACGACGACGGACGTCGTTGAGCAGATGGGTGATTATGTAATCAGAGATTTTGATCACGTGGTTATTCCTCTCAACATCGAGGCTTGGAGATGGGTTGGAGGATGATTTACGCTGGAGACGAAGAGTTTACTCTTTGATTTTTTGGTTGATCATTTGTTGCCGTGACGAGGGCGATGTTGAAGGCGTCGTTGGAGGCGTCGTTGGAGGCGTCGTTGGAGTCACCAAGGCAGCATCATGGGGACAAGCTGACAGAACAATCAAGTCACGGCAACAACACCATCCCTCATATCACGATTCTGCACGACGACAGCCAAGCCAACTTCACAGTGAGCAGTGAGGATCGTGGGATAAACAAGTATATCGAGGAGAGCGTATAGTGTGTACAGTATCACTCCAACAAAACGAATCGGCGGCACAACACGCCTTATCTCACCAGGCAGCGCGATAAGACATTATCGTGGTTACCTTGGTGGGTGCTGTCCCCTTTTCCCCTTGAAACCGACCGCCCTCGGCTGGGGGGCCCGTCAGTCGTCGGCTTCGTCAACAAAGGGGCGTACGGCACGTCATGGAGGCAGATGAGGTGTTTGATTCAAGAGGATGGGATGGGGAGGGGGAATGCAAAAACCGTCCGTAGTCATGGGGTGATAGAACCACGTTCCCCACGATAGGCTGAGAAATGATCGGTATCGGTATCGGTATCGGCGTGGAATAGCCGCGTACCTAGTGTTGTGTGTGCCTACTTCTCTACCTCGGGGAGGAAGGAGACGGACTTGGTATCCTATCCAACTTCTATCGACCTGATTATACGCTCCTCAAACTCCTATATATACACATTTCCTCATCGTTATCCCTCTTGCCAAGCTTCTATCGTTGTTATTTCCATTTGTTACTCTTACCTCATTTGCCCCATCCCCCATCCCCCATCCCCACCACACAGCCACACGCCATATCACACCGACGCTCACAACACAAACAAAGACACGCCCTTCCTTTGACCTGACTCACGCCGTAATTTACTCCAGTGAGCTCATCTCCCTCTCCGTTACATCGGTCTTGCACCAATCTAACGGCTTCCTTTGTCATCCAGAACCGAGGACGAGGCATACTCAGCACGTTTGACGTTTAACGTTTGACGCCGTGCCAGTGACTCAACTCTGTCAACCACCACCATCACTTACGGGTCGAAAGGCTTCATAAGACACGGCACATCTCGAACGTTCGACTGATTTCGACAAGTTCCTTCAATACCACCTCTTCCCTCATATCAACACAAATACTTCACACCAAACCACAACAACCAACAAAAACAATGACCGACCAAACCACCACCACCATCACAGACCCAACCCACTCCGACCTCCGCGCCCCCTCCGTCCCCCCCGCCGCGCCCACGCCCAAGCCGAGAAATGGAAACACACCACCCAAACCATCCCCGTCCACTGGACATCCAGCTCCACCTCCCCCGCCACCACCTCCACCACCCCCATCCCACGCCCCCAAAAACAACCACGCATCGCACGCGGCCCGATCCCAAGCCGGGGAACAGCCCTAGCGCACGCCTGGATGGAATGCGCTGATACCTCGTGCGCCAACCGAGAGGGGGACTTGGAGGCGATGTATGATGGTGTGGGACTACCCCCGGGCGTGCCGGTGGGGGATGAGGCGGTGTTTTATACGTTCAATAACTCGTCGCCTGCTAGCTCGCTTGGGCTGGATGGGTTGGTGGATAAGGCGGAGCTGCATTTTAGGGAGAGGGAGACGGAGAGGATTGTTAGGGCGGAGTATGAGGTGCTTGATGGGGAGGGGGAGAGGGTGAGGAGGAGGAAGGGGAAGGGGAGTGTGGAGGGGGAGGTGGAGGTGGAGGTTGAGGTGGAGGTGGAGGTTGTGGAGGGTGAGGTTGGGGGGGATTGGGAGGCGATTTAGTGGCGCTGAGATCAGTTGAGGAGGTGCTGCGTGGAGGCGGCCCTGAAGGTGATTCCAACAGCGATGAAGCTCGTGCTTGTTGCGATCATCTTCCTCTTCTTCGGCTGAACATTCTTTTTCCTCACTGTTTTTCCACATTCACCTCACTTCACTTCTCGACTCTCTCTCACCTTATACCGACACCTTTATTCCAGCGCTTTTCACCTTTTTTCAACAACTTTTCACATTTTGCGTTCACCAAGCTTACTCATCCCCCCCCCCCACCCCCCGCAAATGGATCGGGGTTGAGAAGGACAGCCTGACTCACGCATTCGCATTGTACGACGATGGCGACGACGTTATAGATAAAGATAACACCTCGAGCTTACTCGTCCCAGCCTCGCGGCTAAGGGGGACGAGAAGGATGGCTTGTGGCGTTTCTCCAGATGGATCTGATTTTGGTTTTCTTGGGAGGGCTTCGAGCTTACTCGTCCATGGATGGACTGAGAAGGATGGCTTGGGCGTTTTTTTTATGCTTTGGTTTTCGGAGCTGGATACTTTCTAGGGAGGAATTTGTAGGACGGGTAGATAGATAAGGGGAGGGGATTGGGGTAGTTCTATACCTAGTTACTCTTCTCTCCTGCCTTTCTATGCCGCTGTATTGCGGGGTGGGTGGGAAGTAAGGATTACCACTATGAATTTTGCCTGGAATGACCAGTACTAGTGGTATGACTTTTCCTACTGTAGACACAGCCTCTAGGATAGTAATAGACGTACGGTTTTCAGGGCTTGGAGTATAGAGCTCCTTTGCTGTTCGTGGTAACTTTGATGGAATAACTATGCCATCAAAGCCGGCGATTGTAGAAAATTCTTCCACAAGAAGCCTTCCATAAAACGGACATGAATATTTCCTATAAAACGCGATGGTAGTCTATGAAATGTAGAAAATAGAAACTCTACATTGACACCCAACATATATCCTTCCAATTGTCAACATGCTCTTCCCCAAACTCAGTGCTGCGGCACTCCTCCTTGCCCCCGTCGCCCTCGCTGCCCCAACAACAGAGGTCTCATGCGCCCGCTGCGATGAAGTTGCGCATGGTTTCGCCTCTCTCAATGGCGGAACCACGGGAGGGCAAGGCGGCCGCACCGTCACAGTCACTAACTTACTCATGCCGATCTGGTGAAGTATGCGGCTATGGAAGAGCCATTGATTATTCGCGTCGATGGGGTGTTGACTTCCGAACCCAAGGTAACCATCTTCAATCCCACAAGAGATATCAAATTGATATACTGACACCCTGACAGTTTGCGAGAATGGCAGACGGATTGATCTGCGGAAGGACACAGACTACGTGACTGTATCAAATAACCTCCTTTCCGAGCACAACAAGGCCTTCGGAATTGGCTGGACCGAGAATGTGATCGCCAAAATGACTGTAAGTTCCCTTCTTCCCTTCCAAGATAAAAAAAATCACATACTAACACCTTCAGATCAACGACAACTTCTTCAACTCAACCAACCAACGCGGCCCCAGCGCTGACAACCTCAGTACTGCCACATGTTCAACAACTACCACCTAAACACCACCTCCTACGGCAACTACGTCCGCGGCCACGCCAGCTCCTCGTCGAGAACTGGTACTACAAGAACGTCAACAACCCCGTCGTCGCCGATCCAAACGCATCGATCAGAGCAACTGGCTCAAGTTCAAGGATTGCACTGGGGAGAGGCATTTGGATAATGATGATGATGATGATGATGATGATGATAGGGTATGGGGACGTGCTATGCTAGGGGTTTATGTACAGAGTATAACCTTAGAGAGCATTTCTTGCTTGTGTTGCGCGGCCGTGAGGCCTTTTGACTGAGTGCCTTCCCCGCCAGTTGGGATGGTGTCAGTGTAGTCAGAGGAGGGTATACCCTCGAAGTTTCTCCTGAGAGGGTGCAGTTGACTAGAGGGTCTGTTGTGTGAAACCACTATGGAAGTGGTTAGAGGCATATGGATGTGAACAGCAAGAGAGTATTTGATGCTAGGAAGTTCTACGAATATGCTTTGAAGGATCCTTATGATCTCCCGACTACGATTCCTCCATTCGTTGGCCCGGCCCCGGATATTGGCATTTAGTGGGAAAGGTTGGAATGAATGGAGACTTTCATGATTGCTTAGACTAGGTTAAGCTGCGAAGTTATGCATATTTAGCTATGAAATAACATCATCAGATTTTCAAACGTTGTTTGATGGGTGCTGGAATGAAGAGGACAGTTGGTGACGACCATGTGGCTCAACAGGGCGAGATTATATATCATTGCAAGCTTAGTGTGATGTTTTTCATAACCTGAAACTCAGCAAGTCCATACTTGCTACCTCCCTTTCCTAGCCCACTTCCCTTAATTCCCCAGAAATTGTTTGAGGGTGCTCGGGCTCACGAGATTCGGGCTGAGAAAGCTGAGCTTCAAGCCCACAAGCTCGCAGCCATAGAAGCCCGCGTAGCCCGCAAAGCTATAACCCGGGCCCGGAATCAGCTTAAGAGAGCTGGAATTGAGGCCCCGAGGGAAGAGCGCGCCCGGAAGAAGATGTTGACCCAATTATACGAAGAGGGTCTCCCAGTTCCTCCGGAGTTCGAGCTTCCAATTCCGGACCCAGAAGCCCCCATTTCTCAACCCCGCATCTCGCTTCCTCCAACCTTGAGCGAAGAGAAAAGTTTGGTCACGACGATTAATGCAATTCAGTATCAAGTTAAACACTGTAAATTATTTTTAAACCATTCATTTATTCATCCCTTTCTACATTAAAAACAACCACGCTTCTCTACAGATATATAAAAAACTTCCCTCACTTCCTCTCCTCCCCTCCCCCAAAAAGTCATCCGCAAAAACCTGCGTACTCACTCATCTATCTAATCCCCCCACACACACACTACGACGCATCCGTCTCCATCCCCTCCGCCTGCACATGCTCGAAGCTACTCTCACTCCCCGCCCTCCCCACATCCTGATAACTCTCCCAATTCGCAAGCACATCCTTAATCTTCGGGCTATTCGTCAGACGATACACATCCTCAAAGTACTCCTTCGTAATCTCAAACGGCCTCGCGGTGACATTAGGGATGTACTTCCCAATCAACTTACTCGGATCAATCGTCGTCTTGTTGATCTTCTTCAGCAGGAAAGAGCGGAAGGGTTTGACGCCCGAGCGCAGGAAGGTGGAGTGGAAGGGCACGTCGATGCCCTTGAGCGGGATGGTGGCGAAACCGCGTTGGAGGTCCAGGGGCTTGGGCTTGGTTTCGGTCTGGCGCGCGCATTCGCGGATGATCTCCACCAAATGCGCCTTCACGTCCTCGATGCTGAGGATTTCCATCAAGGCTTGGATATCGATCTTCTGCGCCTTGAGGTAATTCGTGACGCCCGTCAGAGTATCCAGCGCCCGCAGATCTCCAGCGCAGACATACTGCATATTCGCGATATTGTAGTTCACAATCTCGAGCAACCACTTCGTCTCCTCGGCGATATTCTCCACGACGTATTGCAGCGCCTGCTCATTGAAGGTCTTGCTAATACGCGACGGGTTCACAGCGCACATGGAGTAATTCGAACGCCCCGACGCGTCGCGCTCGACGGCGACTTGCATGGTGAGACCTCTGTAGAAGACGACGGAGACGAGGGACTCGATGGGCATGACATCAGCGAGGGCAGCCAGGGCGGAGTACTCGCCCAGGGAGTGACCGGCGAAGCTGCTGTCGCGCTGGACGAGGCCCTTCGAGAGCATGTCTTCGAAGCTGGCTTTCTCCATCAGGGTCAGGGCGGGCTGGGTGAATTGGGTGGCGGAGAGGAGGCCGGTGGGGGAGCGGTAGGTGTACGAGGTGGTGTTCTCGTCGACTTCTTTGAAGATCTTCTCCGACTTGGTGGTGCCATCCGAGGCGACGGTCTCGAAGGTCATGGCCATGTAGTTCTGGCGGATGGCCTTTCCGCGGGGGCCACCAAAGTGGATGGTCAGCTCCTTGGGGTTGTTCTTGACGATGTTGGTGATAGCAAAGCCTGGTATCCGTTAGTTAACTGCATCAAGCTACAGAATCGAATTAAAAAAAACTCACCATAAGTATCCATGAAATGCTTATCAGCCCGATCCCAAACCTCCTTCGCAACAGGGCTGCTAGCATAAAGCTCCATACCCATACCCTGCTCCTGCGATCCCTGTCCAGTGAAGACATACGACGAGACGGGCTGTTCCACCTCCGCCTCACCAAGAAGAACCTTCTCCTCCGTCACCTTGTTGCTCGCCTCAACCTTGATGATCTTGCGACCAGCAACCATACCAACATGCTGCAGTCTAACCTCAATATCATCGTTAGGGAGGACCATGCCGACAAGCGAAGCGTGGAAGCTCCTCACGCGACCGATGTGGTTCTCAGCCGCCCAGGTCTCAACAAGACTGCGCACGGCAGCACTGGAGTACATGCCGTGGGTGATGGTACCGGGAAGGTTAGCGTAGCTGGCAAAGACGCGGGAAACGTGGATGGGGTTGAAGTCACCCGAGACACGAGCGTAGGTCTCATTCGACGCAGGGGCTCTGAGCTGCAGCGGCGCCTTGCCGTTGAGCGGGATGGCATTCTCGAAGTTGATGGGCTGCTCAATGGAGGAGCCGTGGCGCTGGAGGTAGTCGATGACTGGGTTACCGTGGGAGGCACCGGCCTCGTAGTCCACAGTGGCGATCTGGATGATCTCCTTGGTCGGGAGCTCGAGGAGGACTTGTCCCCTGGTCTCGACGCTGCCGAAGACGGTCTTGTTCTTGAAGCGGTAGTAACTCTGCAGACGGAAAGTAAGGGTCTGGCCGAGGAGATCCATATCGGTCTCCTCAACGTTGAACCACTCCTTGGAGCGCAGCACAGCCACATCCTTGCTGGACGCCAGGTGCAACTGCATGGGCACCTCCGTCTTGCGCTGGAACGTGTTCTTGAAATCGGTGTAGGCACCGCGGTACAGGAACTGCGAAGTGACCTCCATAACAGCCTTGCCCTCGCGGGTAATCGTGCCCATAACCTCAACCATCTTGCCAGAATCCTGGTTGATAACAGCATTGATCTGCGCCGTCGTCGCGACCTCATCGCCCTCCTTCAACGGATCGGCACCAGGAAGCATGCGGAAGCCGTTGGAGAGATGGACAAGCTTGAGCAGGTCACCATCGATCGTGCGTGGGAAGATGGGCTTGGTAATGGCCTTCCAGCCAACGACAATCGCGAAGTCCATAGGAGCATAGACCTCCTTGCCTGGTCTAGACACGAAAGCCTCGCCCTTGTTGCCGACGGCATGGACGAAGTCATTGATGGCCTCGCCGGTGACAGTAGCGCATCCACCGTCAAACTCGCCAGTAACAGATGCGTCCAAGTCGAGCTTCTCGTTACCGAACCACGCCTTCCAGTAGAACTCCTTGATGCGGTCGTTGCGGTCCTCCATAACCTCGTGTATTGGGGCATAGCCGGCCTCTGGGTGGTACCTGAACTTCAGCTCGAGGTCAACTGGCTCTCCGAGAGCTGTGGTGTCCTTGGTGATGTTGACGGCAATCTTGTTGCTTCCCTCGAGCTTGACCTCGATGACCTGGACGTAGTGGTTGGGTCTTGGCTGCTCCTTGACAGTGATGACAGTCTTGGCTGGGTCATTCGGGTAGAGGACTTCGACGAACAATCCACGGACTGGCGTGAGAATGCGCTTCATCGGGTTGGTCTGGAACTTCTGCCCCTGGACGAATATCTCAGAGGTGAAGAGAGCATGTCTCCACGAACGCTTGGATCCGGCGAGAAGCGTGAGCCAGGCATCCAATGACGGCAGGGTAGCCGGTGGGGACGAAGACAGACGGTATGTGGTCCTCTCGGCGTCCTGGTTGACAATCAGGCCCTCAAACTCAGCCTCGGCATCGGACTCGACGAGCTTGCCGCCGAAGTACTCAGTGACCGGAATGGCAGACTCATCGCCGTTGTAGATATCCTTAGTCAAGCCCTTGATGTGGGCGTTGTGGACACCATCAAGAATATCCTTGATGGGCTCGTCGACAATCTTGGAGTACTTCACGGCAGTTGGGCCTTGCAAGATACAAGTCCTGCCAACATCCTGGCCAATGACGGCCTCAAGATCCTCAGATTGCCACAGCGAATCCTTCTTGAAGAAGAACTCGAAGTTCTCGTCGAGGACGGGGACGAAGGTAGTTGGCTTCTGGCCGCGGCGCTGGCAGAGAAGGAGGAAGAACTGGACATCCTGGGCGTTGATAAGCTGAGTCTCAGCCTCAGGGTAAGCCTCAAGAATCCTCTCCAAAGTCGCGTATGGCTCGTTGAGCTCAGTGTAGCTCTGTAGCAGCGAGGGGTTACCCTTGCCCTTGGTAAAGCGCTCCTCAACACGGTAGATGAAATCTCCCGTGAGTTTGGTGTAAGATTTATCAATCCAGCGCGCCTCATGCTTGACGTAAAGCAGATCAACCAAGCGGCGAACAACCTCACCATAAGTCATATCCTCGAGATCGACCGTCTCGCCAGCCTTGTTGCGACCGAACCAGACCTTCTGGAAGTCGTCGTTGAGCTTCTTGATGATGTACGCACGGTTCTTCTTCAGCTCCGGAACGCGCTTCTCCTTGGGCAGGCTGAAGATCTTCTGGTCCATCTCGGCCCAGAACTTGACACCGCGGGTGGCGAGCTTGTGGATCGGCTCGCCCATCTCGGAGCGGACGGTGATGACACCACCAGCTGGGCCCTTGTAGGTCTTCTCCCAGTGGCTGTCCTCCACGCCCTCTGCCTCGGTGATCGCCTTCTTGGCATTCTTGCTGGTGTGAGCCTCCTTGGACGTCATCACGCGGCTGCCGAAAAGGCATCCGTCGAAGGGCATGGCCGGGTAGCCAAAGTTGGAAGACCAGGTACCGGTGATGTAAGGGTAGGTATCATCAGCACCACCGAAGCCGCTGCCAGCGACGAGAATGAGGTTATCGCATCTGCGGATTCTACCGTACATTTGCAGGATTGGCTGATGGAAGTCCTCGAAGGAGTGATGACCACCACCGCGTCCACCGGTCCACTGCATCATAACAGGGAAGGTTGGGTTGGCCTTGGCGATGTTGATGACGGACTGGATGCCATCAATGGATCCTGGCTTGAACGAGATGTGCTTCAGGCCGAGAGTCTCAATGTACTCCTGTGCGACCTCGATGGATGGGACACCAGCACCGATAGTGAGACCCTCGATCGGAACTCCTTGTGTGCGGAGTTGGCCAAGGAGAGGGATCTGCCACTGCATAGCGCGGGGGTTGACGTAGATGAGGTTGACTGTGATTCCACGTCCTGCGGGGATGGCATTCTCGATCTTGGCCAGGGCTTCGGTCATGGTCGTGGCGTTGTAGTATCCACCACCGGCAAGTTCAACTTGGTAACCAGCATTCATGGTTGCGGCAACAAAGTCCCAAGGCACTGTGCAGGGGGTCATACCAGCCACCATCACGGGAGGAACTCCTAGAAGTCTGCTCATCTTCGTGTCGACGTAGGTCTGGCCACTAGTTGTCTTGATAAGACAAGGACCGTGCTCTTTGAGCCAGTCAACAGCGTACTTGACAGCGTGCTCCTCATCACGGTCGAAGAGCTCTGGCTTGTAACCAACTTCCGGCACGGTACCGGCAATAGTGCCAGCCAGAATGACGCGGACGCCAGTTCCATCCTTGTTGCGGCTGGTCAATACACCAAGGCCGGATATACCGCCTGGGCCAAAGTCA